ACATCTGTCGTTTCCTGACTTTTAATTTTAGCCATTCTGACGGGTGTGAGGTGGTATCTCATGGAGGTTTTGATTTGGATTTCCCTGATGCCGAGCGATGTTGAGCACTTTTTCCTGTGTCTGTTGGCCATTAGGATGTCTTCTTTGGAAAAATGTCTGTTCATGTCTTCTGCCCATTTCTTGATTGGATTATTTGTTCTTTGGGTGTTGAGTTTGATAAGTTCTTTATAGATTTGGGATACTAGCCCTTTATCTGATATGTCATTTGCAAATATTTTCTCCCCTTCTGTCGGTTGTCTTTTGGTTCTGTGGACTGTTTCTTTTGCTGTGCAAAAGCTTTTTATCTTGATGAAATCCCAATAGTTCATTTTTGCCCTGGCTTCCCTTGCCTTTGGTGATGTTTCTAGGAAGAAGTTGCTGCGGCTGAGGTCGAAGAGGTTGCTGCCTGTGTTTTCCTTTAGGATTTTGATGGACTCCTGTCTCACGTTTCGGTCTTTCAACCATTTGGAGTCTATTTTTGTGTGTGGTGAAGGAAATGGTCCAGTTTCATTCTTCTGCACACCACATCTTCTTTAATTGGAATCATATTCTATGTGACCTTTTGTGTCTGGCTTTTCCCACTTTGCATAATTAATGTTTTTGAGGCTCCCTTATATTGTAGTATGTACTCAGCGCTCCACTCCTTTTCATGGCTGAAAAGTACTCCAACGAGTGGAATATTTTGTTTCTCCATTCACCTGTTAATGAACATTCGGGCTGTTCCCATTTTTTGTCAACTAGGAACAAGATCAACATCCATTTTTAAAAAATTAACTCAGGTCATCCATTCCTTCACTTGCCCCTCTGCAGGGTTGGATGTTGGGGTGAGTTATGGGGCTGAGATGCCCTGGGCAGTGTGTCAAGAAGAGAGCCAGGGAGGGATCAACCTTGGTCATGGGGAGTGAGGAGGAGACACAGCTTCTCAAATGTCAGCTTGTCTGACACTCACTCTGTTCCACCTTCAGGTTTCTGGGCCCTGCAGTAGGCCTCCCAAACTAGCCAGATGGAAGGGAGATATTCGGTCCTCTTTTTTAAAGAAATGTATTTCCTCCTTAGCTCTTTTCGCAGAAATTGTCATTGTTATTGAAATGCTTGCTCCCTTTAGCTTCTTGGATTATTTAGCAAGAATTGGGGTCGCTTTGGTCTTAGCAACACCTGGCTTGGAGGATGGGCTTCACACAAGCTTTCCCATAGTGCATTTGACTGATTGTGCTTTACTTTTTATTTTGGCAATAAACAGGCAAGAAAAGGGCTTTGGGGGAACAGTGAGGTACCTACCATGTGCCCTAAAACCTGATTATGCATTCCTTTTCTAGACAAAGGTGGGGAGAGGAAGGTGCTCGTTGTCTGCTCCTCATGCTTCTATCTGATGTCTTCAAGGCTGGTGCTGCTAGACTAGTTTTTGCATTTATAAGAAGCGTTGTAGTGCAGTAGGAGGGCTTTGGGTATCTGTCATCTGGGGTCATAAAGGGACTGGCTGGCAAGGACCTCCCTGTGGAGCTCATTACCTGAAATCTTGGGCCCACTTCTCACCACCTTCTCCTTCCTGGCCTATCCCCTCCAAGCCCTGCTTCTTAGAAGTAAATGAGGGTTAATCAGATGCATGACTTCCTGCTACTGTATCAGCTAGTTAATGTCACTACATCCAGATTAAAAAATGCTTAACATTTAAAGGAGCTTTGTTAGTATTGAGAGTTTCAAGCTGGCCACCTACATGGGGGGGGGGCAATTATTGAATAAGGCTTAATATACAATCCAGCAATTGTACTCCTTGGTATTTACCTGAATGAACTGAAAGAGTTATGTCTACACAGAAACCTGCTGATAGCAGCTTTATTCATTATTCATAATTGCCGAAACTTGAAAGCAGCCAAGATATCCTTCTGTAGGTGAATGAGGACAAACAAAATGTGGGCCATCCAGACAATGGAATATTATTCAGGGCTAAAAAGAAATGAGCTATCCAAGCCATGGAAAGATGTGGAGGAATCTTAAAAGCATATACTGAGTGAAAGAAGCCAATCTGAAAAGGCTATGGACTGTGTGATCCCAACTGTACGGCATTCTGGAAATGGCAAAAGACTATGGTGACTGTAAAGAGATCAGTGGTTGGCAAGGGTTGTGGGGAGGTAGGGATGAATAGGCAGAGTACCCAGGATTTGTGGGGCCATGAAACTACCCTCTAATGATACCGGAATGGTGGATACCTATCTTTATGTATTTATATAAGCCCATAGGATGTACAGCACCAAAACTGATCTCTAATGTAAACCATGGACTTCAGATGATAATGGTATATCAATTTATTGCAACAAATATGCTACTGAGGTTGTGGGGTGCCCATACTGGGAGTTTGTGCAAGTCTGGGGCACAGGACTTCTCTGTACTTTCTGCTCTATTTTGCTGTGAACTTATAACTGCTCTAAAAAAAAAAATGTAACATATGCCTTCGAAGGCTATATCAGTTTCTTGTTGCCACCGTAAGAAAATACCACAAATGTAGCAGCTCAAAAGGACGTACATATGCGATCTGAAAGTCCTGGAGTTCAGAAGTCCCAAATGGTTCTTCCTGAGTTACAGTCGAGGTGTTGGCTGGGCTGCATTCCTTCCGGACGCTCTAGGGGAGAGTCTGTTTCCTTGCCGGTTCCACTTTCTGGAGGCCACCTGTATTTCTTGGTTCATGACCTTTCCTCCATACTTCAAGCCAGCCCGGCAGCATCTTCCAGTCACTTACTGACTGTGACCTCTGCTCTTGTCATCACATCTTCTCTCCGACTCTGACTCTTCTTGTCTTCTCCTAAGAACCCTGGGATCACATTGGCTCTGCCCAAATCATCCAGGATAGGCTCCCCATCTTAAGGTCCTTAACTTCATTACAGCTGCAGAGTCCCTTTTGCCACATAAAGGGGACACATAGTCACAGGTTTTGGGGATCAGAATGTGGCTGTCTTTGGGGGGAGGTCATTTTGTCTCCCACATACACCCTCTAAATAGCTTTTCTTTGGGCCCTGTTGTCACTTCGGACAGGCAACCTGGTTCTATTTCACAATTGTCCTGTGGTCATTTTTTCCAGTTTATGTAGGAGATCAGGAGTCTGGTGAGGAAAAGAAATGAAGGAAATCCAGTTGGGTCCTGGATTTCACTGGAAGGATGGAGAACGGTGATGCTCGAGGAGGGGCCCATCTGAGTCACCCAGCATCCTCTTCTCTTTCAAGCATTCCAGCATCCCAGCACCCCTCTGTTGAGAGGCACATCTCTTCCACTCTACCTCCTGTCACTTGTCTGTGGGAACATTTTGTATTTCTCATCTGCAGGGGCAAGGAAGAAGTTGGCGTCCAGGGATGCAGAGGGTTGGAAGGGGTCTTGGGCAGAAGAGGTTCAACTTTGTGTGGAAGAGGTGGATGGGGGGCTGAGGCTGAGGAAGTGCCCCCCCCCGCCCGCCCCGTGGCATCAACAAGAATGGGATGCAGGGAGGGATTAGAGGATGAGATGCGTGGCCTTCCTGGGTGGTGCTGCCTTAGGGTCGCTGATGGTGGGGCTGTTTGCGAGGCCCTGGAATGTGCACCCAGAGAGGTTGCTGGACAGGTGTGGGCAGGTCCTCCTCAGTGCAGAGTTTACCATGAACAGCAGCTCCCAAGGGCTCTTGAGTTCTAAAGCCAGTGAGACAAGAGTCTGGGAAAGGGATGGGTTAGGCTGTGGTATGGAGAAGGAGCCCACAGGCTTCCTTGGATGATCTCATGGAGCTGAACTAATGAGGCATTTTCTTTCTGGGAGTTTCTGAGGCAGATACAATCTTTCCGTGGGTGGCACTGAGACTTTTGCCGGGAGAATGGGGCCCGGAGCAATGACGATGTGTGGATGATGGTTGGCAGAAGGAAAATTACTTTCTGCGTGGATTTGTTCTTTATTGTTGCTTTTGTAATACCTGGTTCTGTCACTCCAAATGTTATTTTGGGGACGGGTGATGCAGATGTTTTTTTTTAAGGCAGGGCATAATTAAATCATTTTTAGAAACCCATTCAACATTTTACATGTCAGTGATGACTGTCATATGGTTACGATGAGTAGTGGGTTTACTCTTGCCAAGATGTCACAGCATCTTTAAGAGTAAACAGCCATGGATGAGTGTTTAATTCAGTGAACACTGGAGAAGTTTTATCCAATTGACCTCACTGAGATTTGGGTTCAGCTTCATTTTTCTCTTCCCTTTCATGGTTCTGCCCTCATTCAGGTGATTATGGTCCTACTTGCTCAGGTCCGTGAATCTGCCATTTATTGGCGACGTGACCTCCTGCACATTATCTTATTACTTCTAGATTCAATTTCATTATCCATGGATAGCGACAGAGAACAGCATCTGCCTCCCGGGGTTGTGGCAATGATAAAAGAGGATATCAAAGATCTATTTCCCTGGATGTAGTAGGTGATCAATAAATATTAGTTCCCCTTCTTTCCTTTTAGAGATAACAAAGTTGGCAAGGCCAAGCTGACATTGATCAGCAGTTGTCTTCAAATAATATTTCAAAGGCTGCCACGTATCCTAGAGGAGAGATACCTTCTTTGGTGCTCCAGAGAGCAGACGTAGAGCTAACAGGTAAAAATTGAAGGGAGACAGTTATGTGTGATACACGTCTACTGTGACAACCAAAAATGTCTCCACACATTGCCAAACATCCCCCAGAGGGTAGAGTGGCCAGAGGTTGAGACACACCGAGTTAGAGGCTAGATGAGAGCAAACTGGACTCCATCCTCCCAAGGTCACCTCCATCCTGCGCCATATTGGGTTCCTATGGCATTCTGGTGGTGGTTTTGTGGTTTGAGAGAGTACCGAATGCTGAAGACAAAAGGCCTAACACTTGTGTAGGGTTCGGTTTGGGCCACAGAGAGCAACTGAAGTGGGCACTTGGAAGGCCTTTTGGGGTTGTGGTTTGTTTAATGGCTTGTTCACTGTGGTTTTGCAGGTCATGTTAGCAGCTTCCTATTGGTCTCTCCTGGCCCCAGCCGTTGAGATGGCCACGTCCTCTGGGGGCTTTGGTGCCTTTGCCTTCTTCCCCGTGGCCATTGGCTTCACCCTCGGAGCTGCTTTTGTCTACCTGGCTGACCTCCTGATGCCTCACCTGGTGAGTACCGCTCTTCAGACTTGACGTACCTCCTCATGGCTCTGTTGAGTAGCCAGTGATATAGAAATAGATATTTGAAGTCATTTAGGGCTTTTACCTAGAATTTTACCGTGAATTGGGACTTTTTTTTTTGTCCTAAAAGAAAATAAGCTCTTGGTAATATGACTAATCATCCCCTTAGTTACATTTTGCTAAGTTCAGATTTTAAATGTCAGATTTCATTATAAATAGAGAGCGCAGCTGACGTACCGTGTGGCACTGTTTCTGAGCGGACCTAGCAACTGGGAGAAGTGAGTGATTATGATGATCATGGTCTTGACCCTTAGGAGCCTACACTGTCATCACGAAGATGATGACACACCCAACTATAGCATAAGACCATTGACAAAGCGTCACACATCGGCAAGGGCTTATTAACAGGAGGATGAGGTGGGGACACTGGGCAGCAGAGCCCTGAGTTCAAGTTCACTTCTGCTGTTGCCTGGTTGTGTGCCCCTTGGCTCACAACCTTCCTCCCTATAGCTTGAGGATAACTCCCTTTAGGGGCTGCAAAGTAAAAATTTAAAAATCTAACAAGGCATCAGAATTGGGGGCAAATCAGAGATTTTAGGCTTTTTTACTGAAATGGGGCTGGTGGGTTAGGTTTGGAGAATGACCATGTACTTACTTGCTCACGTGGAAGCATGGTACGAACCACAGCCTGAAATCTGGCCATGAAATCGTAACCGAATGCTATTGGCTAAAATTAGGTAGTGTGCATATGCTATGTGTAGAGAAGGGTCAGTGTCCGCTGTGTAGAGAAGGGTCAGTGTCTGTAAGAAGCCAGTACAGGAACACAGAGCCTTACCCAACCAGCCCTAGAGGTCGGCAGAAGTCCTCTGTGATATCTGAGCTGGTGCTTGAATTCTCTGTTCACCCAGAAAGAGAAGAGGCACAAGAAGGACTCTGTAGGGGAGAATGGGGTTGGAAGTCGTTTCTTCTGTCGGACTGTGATGAGCTGGGATCAGGTCAGGCTCACTGGAGTTGCTGGACATCTAGCCCAGGACGTAGTCTGACATTCTCTTCCCTGCCTGTCTGCCTTCTTTGCTGCTATAAATTCCTGACCAAAGAGAAGGAAGGGTTCTTGGGAACTTGTCCTTGGGGCCGATGAGAAATTGATTCCTCATGTCACAGAAAGACCAGCCTCTGGACCAGACAGCTGGATGTGACAGTTGGATGGAGAGTCACAACACTGTCTCAGAGGAAAGACCATGTGTCATTTTTTTCATCATGAGCTTGAATGTCAGTGTCAGTTTCTGGCCCCTGAACCCTTGGCTTCCTTGCCATTGATTATATCTGTATGATAGGAACTTCCAGAGGTCCTCTGTGTGGGCTGCCATATTCTGCTCTCAGATCCACCCTGGTCATGTGTGAACTTGCCGTTGGGATGTATTCTACTTGCCCTGGCAGGAAGATCTTACAGCCAATGGCCTTAACTCTCAGAACAGCGGACCAGGGGCTGGCTCAGCGGCTCTGCATAGCCCCCATTGGGTCTCATTCTGCCTTTCCTACCTGGGCTCAACTGGGCTTCTAAGACTGTGTCTCGTGGAGGGCTCTTTGCAATCATGATGGGTCACTGCTCACCGGTACTGGGGGCGGGGACGGGGGCAGGTATATTTGATCAGCTGTCTGAATGTGGGGACTTTCTCTGGGCAGTGTAAATAGTCATTGACCAGTTTGTACTGGGCAGCATCATTGTTTTAACCTTTTGCTTGGTGTTTGTTCTAATATATGCTTTGAATATGGAGAAGATTCCAAGGGAAAGTCGTGGACAGACTGCACAGAAAATTAGGAATGGCTTGGGAGTGGTGGCTGAGCATCCAGGGAGAGAGTTGGAGGGGGCTTGAGTATGGACATGATAACCATGAATGCCCAGAACCTCACTAATTGGCAGAAAGATCAGCCTGACAGTAAACATCTGTTCTAGGACATTTGAAAAGAAATTAATTTTTGCTGTTGATGTGAGAAGGGGAATTTGTTCTGGAAGGTCTATAAACAGATAAGAATTATTTATAAGTGCTACAGGCACCGAATACAGATGTTGCTGTTGAGAGTCGCAAACTCAGGCCACCGTCGCTCTGAGACAGCATGAGGTTCCCCTAGGTTTCACTCTTAATGTGCTTTCCAAACCCAGAAGGGGCAGCATCGTGGATCTATTGAAGGTGCTTCATGGAGTGTAAGTTAATGGGTTTTGATATCGCGTCCATGTGATTATCCGACCCTGCCTGAGCACCCACAGGGGAGGTAGTCTTCCCAGGCAGCCGGAAGCTGGTTTGAGAACCTAGACTCTTGGGTTTGTGGGAAGGAGATGGTTAACCACCAACTCTGGTCTCCCAACTCTATTTCTGTTCGTTCAGCTTTTCAGATTTATCTGTCCCCCTGTTTGAGCTGAAGCAAAATACTGCTCATGAAAAGGGTTTCACTCATAACAGCCTGTCAGGTTGAACCCGTTGCGGCTTTGTTAACTTCAGATACATCAAATTGCTCTCTGAACTGGGTATTTGTTTTCGTTTCTTTATCTGCGAATAAAGTAGAGAAGGCTCAGGCAGTAACCGTTAAGGGGAAATGAGCTTACAGAGATTTATGGAGATTTTGCCAAATGGTATCTTAATGGGAGAGGGACAGAGGCAAGGGGTAGGCACGGAGGTAGCCAGCTGCTGGACCCCAGGAAGAGGGCTGCCAAGAGGGGGCCATTGGGGAATGTGACTGGGGCCAGCCTGAGCCCAGGCTTTCCCTCCGGAGGCCCTAGGGAGAGACAGAATGGATAGTAAATAGCTGTTTGGAGACACTGACATTTTTATGATCTTTGCAGTTCTGCTTCTGTATGAAGTTAAGGATGACAGTAGGTGGGTGGCCTTTACCTTGAGTTTAAAGCGGTATTATTTTCTACTGGTGGGTAGAAGGGTAGGGTTGGGAAGGACAGTAGGGTGTGTGTGTTCCCAAGGCCTCCTGTCTTTCTTTTTAATCATATTAGTGTTACAACGATACAACACAAAAATCTCATCATAAAAACTAAGAAAAAGAAAAAAAATTATGTGACGGTCCCTTCCTGCTATGGACTTATGTCCCCCTCAAATTCATATGGTAAAATTCCAACCCTCAGTGTGATGGTATTAGGAGGTGGGGCCTTCCGGAGGTGATCAGGTCATGGGTGTGGTGCCCTTATGATGAGATTAGTGCCCTTATAAAGAGGTCCCCAAGAGCTCCCTGTTCCTTCTGCCATGTGAGGACACATGGGGACACATGGATGCTGTCTGTGAACAACAAACCAAACACGATTCTGCCAGCCCTTTGATAGCCTTCCAGCCTCCAGAACTGTAAGATAGACATTTCTGTTGTCTATAAGCCACTCGGTCTATAGTAATTTTTTAACTAAAAAAAATTTTATTTATATATTTTTTTCAAAAGATTTTATTTATTTACTTAAGAGAGAAATCGAGAGACAGAGGATAAGTGGAGCGGAGGGAAAGAGGCAGAGGGAGAAGCAGACTCGCCACTGAGCAGGGAGCCCGACGCGGGGCTCAATCCCAGCACCCGGGATCATGACCTGAGCCAACGGCAGATGCTTAACCGACTGAGCCACCCAGGCGCTCCTGATTTTAACAGATTTTATTTTTTTTAGTAATCTCTACACCCCACATGGGGCTCGAACCCACAACCCCAAGATCGAGTCACACCCTCCACTGACTGAGCCAGCCAGACGCCCCCTAGAGTACTTTTTTTATAGCAGCCCCGAAGGGACTTAAGACGCTTCCACCTTCCCGTCCTATCCCCAGACCAACCATTGTTATCAATTTAGTGGGTATCCTTCCAGATTTTTTCTCTTTTCTTTAAGAAAATGAGCTATGTTGTGTCTTTTAAACGCTGAAATGTAAACGCTTTCCCCATTTGCTTGTATTGCTCGGGCGCGCTTTAGATCCGCTCGATAGAGATCCAAGCTCTGCCTCATTTCAAGCTCCTTTCTCTTGTGTGCGTGCGTGCAATGGGTTTTCACACCATCAGAACCGGGGTGTGCATCCTCTTGTGTGTTATTTTTACATTTGAAGTGACTTTCACCTACGGTCATTCTAGTACCTGTGCAGCGTCCCACCACCTTACTGTATGTAGTTCGCCTGGTAATTTCCCCATCATCGAGTAGCTGGATTGCGCCAGGCCTTTATATATGTATCTATGTACATCTGGAAATGTAATTTTGTTTTGTGTTTTCTGAAAAACACATGGTAACATACTGTCTGTGTTGTTGCTACTTGCTTTTTTCAGTTTGCTTTCCGTCTTGGCAGTCTCCCCGGGAAATATATGCTCCCACCATCTCCCTCCCCTCTCTCGGGATGTGACATCTTGAGGAGGCCGCCCAGGGACTTGCCGGGGATAGGGGCAGGTGGTGGGTCTCGGCGATCCCGTCTGAGATCTCTCATCTGGGAGAGAGTGGCTGGCGGTCCTGCCCCGTCAGGCCCTGGGGGGGCAGGGCCGATTCGCAAGAGGTGGGGGGTACTGCCTTCTCCGCTCCCTCCTTAATTTATCTGTGTCCTCAGTCCTGTTGTTTCTTCTCTTTGTTGACTCTGTAATGGCAAAGAAGACGCTTCTGCTGAAAACCTGAGCAAGCGGGGTGTGCCCGTACTTTTAATATGCGGCCAACGTTGGCTGATGTCACTCTTGGTTGGCTGGGGTTGCTATGAGGGGCCCACCTAGGACAAGTGTCTGGAAGCGACACAGGTTGCAGGAGCCAGTATTTTTCCCCCAGAGGGGGTGTTCGGGTATTTTTTTTTTTTTTTTTTTTTTGTCCTGTATAGGTTCTCTCCATCTTTAGCATTCTGATTCTACTTCAACTAAAGAATACCTTGCAGAGAAAAGATGGGGTTGTGGGGCGTGAGGGGACGGCAGGAATATCTTACAGAATGCCACGTGGAGAAACTGCGGTGGTAACCCCCTGAGAGCCTGTAGCGGAAGCCTGACATTGTCCG